AACATCTAGGTGAGCTCCCATGGCTTGAACTTCGAACCATGCCATAGTTGGTGCGAGACTACTTGGCGCACCAGCTTGCATGATCTTCTCCTTGGATTTTCTGTCCTCCTCCGCAATTTTCTTCTCGCTCTTGCGAGGTTTGCGCTTGCTAGGTGCCTTTCGTTTGGAAGACGAGTCAGCAGCGGAAGAGGTCGGAACGACAGGTGGCACGACGAGTGGGGGTACAACGTCGTCGTCGTCGTCGATGAGCTGGTCTTCCTCGTCTTTCTCCTCGAGTTGCGCAAGGAGTAGCTCCGATGCGCTTGAGGTACCCGAGACGGGGAAAATATCACGGGCGGGAGACTGGCGGGTTATCCCTTCGCCGTTATCTCGCGAAGTTGAGTGCTGCGAAGTATCCCCCAGTGTCGCAGGAACGGGCTCTATGGTATCTGTATTAGACACGGGGTAAACTAGAACGGCCAGAACGCACCTGCTACCTCAATTACTGTTTTTGACTCGGCAGGGCTGCAGAGTTGACAGGTAAACTCTTTCGGATTGCCGACACAAGCACTATGACTCCAAAACTTGCATGCCTGGCATTTGACTGTAGTCCGCGATCCGGGTCCTGTGGTGAGCGGCATGAGTGGTAATGTTGTAACTAGGGGAATGATTCATACTAGGATCGTCGCAGATACACCGGAAAACCTCGTGGACGCCCACCACTTCGTGGCAAATGCAGCAGACTTCCAACGGGCACGGTGCATCATGCGACACCACAGCACTGTCGCCCATCGTGGTCGCAAGCGTTATTTCCTCGCGGACGTATCCGGCACAGCGATGCGCGCTTCGCATGTGTGACCAGGTCAATTTACTGAGGGAATATAGCTCCATGTCGAGATCATGGGAAATTCGACTGGCGACGTTGGCCAAGGATTGCTGGCCGCGATCTATCGTTCGCCAGACATACTCCCGCCGTGGCCGGACAGGAGGCTCGTCTTCTGTGATGCGTGGCGATGACAGCGATTCCGAAGCCGAGTTCGCGGCCAGAGTTGACACCTCGTGAGGTCGGGCCCCTAGGTCGACCACAGGCTTCCTCTCGATGTCCTCGTCTGTACCAGATGCGTCAACAAATTACGGTGGTAGCAATATCAACTCACTGTGCAACACGCGATTGGCGGACCTCAAGACCTTTATGCAAACCGTTTAACATTCAGACGTCCAACCGCTTTGGGGCAATACTAACGCGTACCTTTTGACACAGCGCATTGAAGACATCCCAAGAAATGGTGGTATTATCTACGTGGGTTAGATCTTCAGTAACATGGGCCACTGATGATGTTGGCGGGTTGACACTGATCAAGAACCGGTCGTTGAGATCGAGAAAAACATCAAAGTTCTATGTACCGCAGTCAGACTCTTGCCTTCATAGCAGAAAGCATGCCTACCTCCACTCCGAGAGACGCCAGTGAGACCCCTTGAACACTAAGATGGTTCATGCCAGACTGGAAGGCGACGCAGCGATTTAATACAGTGTCGAGCCACGTGTTCGAGACCTACGGAGAGACCTGCGACCTGCAGCTTGCGTGAGGGCATGTAAGTTGTATATCTTGCATTGACGCACCATCTTAAACCCCAGATTGACGCTCCGCGTAAGATCGTCCTTGAGGGCAGCCGCAAGTGGGCCTTCCGCAGTCCTCCAATGAGCTAAAAGATATGTCGTGAGCCCAAAGATTCAGCGTAACATGAAGACCCCAACCGTTCTCATAAGCGATAAAGTGATTCAAGGACGCGGGGGAAGAAACACCTTCAATCCGCAGCACGTTTGGATGCCTGCAGACGATGGGTCAGACGATATGGGTGGACCGGGCTACACGCACATAAGCCCTTTCGACAGTGCAACCGTCGATTCCAATTGCTTCGGGCAGAAGTCAGAAAACAGACCGTATGGATCTCATCAGCCTACCTCTCGAACAGTTGACCCCGCATTGAAGACCTTCACAATCACAGCGCGGCCCTTGGCTTCCCCAGCATGGAGGAAATACCCGGGGCCGCTCCCAAGTTCAAGAGTGAGTTTGAGGTGTTTGTTTCGAATGACCTGAGGAAATATCAGCCCCTGCTCCCTCCGAAATGTAGCATTTACGGACTTTGATTCCCTCCTCCTCTTCGCGTCGGCGGCGTTTACGGGTGGGTTCTTCTAAGGACAGCAGACCTGGTGCATCTGTAGGAAAACCAATTGACATGACTTTCTCTCCCGTAGAAGGAAGGAGGATCCACCTTCAATCGCTTCTCGATGGCGCTTTTTCCCGTAGAAGGTGTTATGGATGAAGCTGTTGTGGATATTGTTGTAGACACCCTCTCCGAGCGTAAAGTTCTCTGAATTTGAAATGAAAGACATCTGGATCTCTGGGACTGAGGGTGTGGATGTCGTCGACGTGCTGGGCAAGGTCGGGAACACGTTCTCTGATACAGTGCTAAAGGCTATGCGAAGCTGTCAAAGCTTCGCCGCACTCCAGCCGCTGAACCTAATTGGTGGCAAAGACATTCCTGACTGGCGGGGGGTGGCAACGGCTCGTTTTATTCATTTCCGAGTTCCCTACCTACATACATCGTGTAGATATGCAAACGCAAGTATGTACACCGCGTGCCTTCCCCCGTGCCGTCGTATGGCGCGAGCGGGAAGGAAAGAAAGAAAAGGCGTTAGCGCGCGCAGGAAGGATGATCGAACAATGAATGACGTACCTGTAGCGCGGGCCAGCGTCGAAGCGAGCGGTGGTGACAGCGGAGAAGAGCACCAAAGGTGGGGAGCCGAGCACAGACTCGAGAACGCGCTCCCCATCGAGCAAGCTCGCGTGGTCGCTGTAGCTGTCCTCTTCTGCGTCGTCTGCGTCCACTGCATCTTCGGCGGACAGAAAGGGCCGCGCATACAGGCCGGCGTGCACGGAGAAGAGCACCGAAGGCGCGTCGTCCTGCTCTTGCTCCGACTCGACGTCCGCGTCGGGCTGTACGTCGACGTCCTCGTCTGACAAGGACATGTCAGCACCACCCCGAAAGCGCGGTGTCGTAATCATCAGACGACGTGCCCTCGGGAGCATCCACATCCTCTTGCTCTTGCCCCTGCTCCACCTGCTCCTGCTCGGCGTCGCCGCGCTCGTACGACGGAGCGCGATCCTCGAACGGTGGGGCGCGATCCTCGTCCGCATGCGCATACATACGCATACGCATACGCCGGCGCCCCTGCCCCGCCGTGTTCATGCATCCCGCTCACCACCGCGTCGATCGCGCGCGCCGAGGGGAGCTCTTCTTCTTCTGTCTCTTGCTCCTGTCCCCCCTTCCTCCTCCTGCCGCCCCCCTACTTCCCCCACATCCTCCCCCTGCTCGTACTCGTAATCATAAAACGGCGCCCCAAAACCGGCGTGCATCCCGCCCATAACAGCGTCGATCGCCCGCGCAGAGGGGAGTTCTTCTTCCTCCTCTGCGTCCGCATCACCCTCCTCCTGCGCTTCCAGATCGGCGTGCGCGTCGAGCGCGCGCGTGGGGACAGGGACGGGGAAGAAGGCGAGGAACGGGTAGAGCGCGTGCGCGGCGGCGGTGGGGGGGAGAGCGCGCGGTTCGTAGCATTCATAGCATTCATAGCGTCGATAGTGGTCGTGTTCGTGGGATTCGTGGGATTCGTGTTCGTAGAATTCATAGCATCAATAGTGGGCCCGGGTGCGGGCGTCGGTTGGAGAACCACCCCCGGGGAGGTCGGAGGGTGGGCAAGCGCCCAGGCGGCGGGGGAGGGCGGGACGGAGACGTCTACGAGCTCCATTTCCATTGAGTGCATGCCCGTTCCCATGTCGATGACGACTTCGCCGTCGTTGGACAGGTGCGGGTGCGGGTGCGGGTGCGGGTGCGGGTGCGGATGGGAGAGGTCGATGAGCGGCGCGGAGGGGTGACGGGCATGAGAACCAGATGCGGTGGACGTGGAGGTGGAAGAGCGGGAGAGGGAGAGGTTAAGCCGTGGTTGCGCATCCGCGTCTCCGTCTGCGCGGAAACGTGGGAGGCCGGGCCCCAGGCTCTTCGCGCGTCGCCCCTTCCCCAGGCCGAGTCCCAGGCCAAGGAAGCGCGGGGAGGGAACGTGTGTGCGCCCACGCCCACGGCCGTGAAGGGGCGGGGGGTAGCCGTCACGGTGCAGCGCGGTCGTGCGCGCGGAGGTGGGCAGCGCCTCTCCGGGCGTGGTGTGTGCGCGCAGGAATGGGAGGCGCAGGGACAGCCATCCAGAAGAGATCAGGCGCGTGAAGAGAGCAACGGCAGCGAGGACGAGGAGGAGCAGCAGCATCAGGGCGAGTGCGGCGATGGGGACGGCGAAGGGGGCGGTCGGGGAAAGGCCTGGCGGGAGGAAGGGGAGCAGCGGCAGGGTGGCCATGCGGTTAGAGATGGATCTACTACAAGCTGGTTAACGGGGATTGAAGGGGAAAGAAAAGAAAGAAAGAGGCTTACGGGTTTGTGGGACATGGATTTGGATGGTGGTGGGGGGAGGAGGAGAGCTGGGTGAGGCGTGCAGTACGCGAGGACGCCACGCGCGGGGTAGATACCGGGCCGGGCCGGAGCGGAGGGCGATGGCGTGCGGGGGTAATATGTGCAAATACGGGCTTTGTGTTGACGGCCAGGCTGAGGCGGGGCCAGCAGTCTCGCCGCGCAGTGGGGACTGTGCTTTTCAACCTCACTCAATGGATTAGGATTGAGTGCAGGGAATCGGGTGTGGTGCACGGTGCACCGCGGCTCCAGCTCAATTGGAGGAAAACCATAAGCCGCAGGACGGGGTTCGACTCCCCGTACCCGAATTGTCTATCCTCATCCTGCGTTTTTGTTTTTCTTCTTGAGGACCGTTGCACACTCAAATGGATCAAGCAGATCACCAGGCCTGCAGGGCGATAATCAAATTTACACTCGACATGTTCTTCCGAGTCGTCGCATGATAATTAATATCCTGGCAACTTCAAAATCAAGCCACTTCACTGACTAAGTTTCAGAGATATGAATCGGGTGTGGTGCACGGTGCACAGCGCTTCGTTTGTGGAGGCGAAAACGGAATGTAAACCGCAGACCGGGGTTCGACTCCCCGCACCCGAACTTCTACAACTCGGAAGCTCTTTTCTTAACCCGCCACGTCGTCTGCGCAGCATTCCGCTATTGCGTCGTTTAAGTCTCGGTACGTTCATTCTTCTTCCACTGAATTTCTGCCTTTCCGCGCACGAAGGTGAAAAAAGCTCCACCAACTTTGTTTCAGAGATAATCATCGGGTGTGGTGCACGGCGCACGGCGGCTTCCATTTATATGGGTGTACGAAATTTAGGCTGCAGACCGGGGTTCGACTCCCCGCACCCGACATGTCCCAGCGGGGCCGCTCTTTTTATTGTATTTTCACAGAGCTCGGACTGTTTCAACTGAACCCGGCGCCATTCGTTCTAATATCGTTGAGCTCAAAGAGACATCTGAGCGAAATATTCCCGTTCAAGTAGGGAATGTTCGAAGTTGAACCACACTCAACAAACTTAGCTTCAGGGTTAGGGATCGGGTGTAGTGCACGGCGCACGGCAGCTTGCTGAGGTCACCAAGAATGTAAGCCGCAGACCGGGGTTCGACTCCCCGCACCTGACTTCGCACTTCGCCCAGTTTTTTTTCAGTCTTCCTCAACCTAAAATATGTCTCCCGGTAGCGGGTAAGTACGGAGTCCCCTTTCGATGGATTCGGCCTTGGTATCAACCCGTTCACGCTGGGAATGCTCGAAATTGAACCCCACGCAATGGACTGAGCTTAATAGCTAGGACTCGGGTGTAGTCCACGATGCACGGCGGCTTCATTTTAAGGTAGACGTATATATAAGATTCAGCCGCAACTGCAACCCGGGGTTCGACTCCCCGCGCCCGAATGGGTCCTGCTATCGGTGTTTATTTTTCCTTCCTCTGGGGGTGACATCTCACTCAACTGGAACAAGCAGCACGTCACGTAGATCCAGCAGGTGAAATAATGTACCTACGGCGGCGCCACGGTGACGGGCTGGAGACACGTCACATGCTGATGCGCGCGCTTGGGCCGCCGGATATATTGATCGTGGTGACGATGGCTATTTATACTTACGTTCCCCTTTCGGGCTCTCCCGTTCGGCGAGAGTGGACATCTCAGAGGAAGGAGTGGGAAATTCCCTTTCCATCCTTTCTCTTCTTGCCTGCTTCAAGCACCCCAAAGCCAGTCATCGCGGTTCCAAAACTGTTCATAGCGTGTTCTTACATCACCCTGAACATTATTTTCCGACCACGAGACGTCGGCGAGGTTGGTACATTGCCGATTTTTTTGAGACCAAACAAATGTAACCACTCTTCGCGATGGGAATGCCCATTCTGTCCGATCGGACACTTTGTGAGCAACAAGACCGGTGATTTTCATTCCTTCCGATCGTCCCTTTTGTAGAACTTGCACTGTGAAATCTCCACTCCTTCCTATGGTAATTACCACTCTGCCCCATCGGTGAGGTCCCATTCCATCCAATTGATCTAAGCTGTGTTATTCCGATCGGATGGAATGATCAGCTCCGAGAATGACACAGGAGAGCGAGTCTCTCCTTCTTTCCTTCTCTCATCTGGATAAATATGGCCTCCCAATCGGAGCGTCCTTATGTTGAGGCTGATCTGTAAGCTTCCAGAATTTTATTTTGAGATGCAGCTCAAAATCTTTGGATAAACAGAACGGGGAATAAAGCAAGTCTCGTTAGACTCGTGCAACGTCAACTCGGTAAATGGCCTACGGGGAAGTTCCACCAGTCAAAGGTGACAGTTGTACAACTGAAATCGGCACTCCTCGACCCCACCTACGGGTTTACAACAAATAAACCAGCAGTTGCCCCACCGGCAACTTTCCATGCCCCTTCTGCACCTGAGACGCAACAGATGACCTCCTCGGTTCCTCCCAGTAAACCAGGTATTTTATTATTCAAGTTGAAGAGAGTTGTGAGCTCAATAGTTTATTACAGCGACAGCTCCCCGGGATTCGTTAGCTCCGAGCGAAACCACTGTTGAGGTCAGTCATAGTCTATGATCTTGCACCGAGCTAATTGAACGTCTCTTAGCTCCTCGACCTTCGCATTTACATAGAGGATTGCCGCTTCACTCCTTCGCAGAAAACTGTAGCCATCCTTTCCGTCCCAGTTCTTGACCGGATTAATTGCTCCTTCGGCGGCTTCAGAGTTCTTGGAAGGGAGATCATTTCGCGACTACAGAACAGCAACAGTGCGATAGAAATTCCGGCCACAGGTGAATATTGCCAGACCTATTATTTTTCATTGATAACCTTGTATCTCTAGGCCCAGGCACCATCCGAATTTCGGTGCCGGATCGGGAGGAGCCTGAATGGAAGGTCCCTTTCGTTCGCATTGCTTATGGGCAGCCGTTGGACGTGATAGAGTTCGATCCGCAAGCTCTGGAAGTTCTGGAGAATCAGCGCCTCAAGCTGTTCATAGACGTGGTATGTTTGTTTCAAACTTCAGTTAATTCATACTCATCAATGCTTCAGATTGCCTCGCCTGCGGGTGCCGTCAAGAGTGACAGCAGCAGTGGTTCCGATTTATTAAATTCCGTGCCGGCGACTCCTGCGGACACAGATGTTGCGGAGGAAAAAACCGAGGACCCAGCGGTCAAATATCTCATCGATAAGCTTGCTATGCGGCCAGGCTACGAGTCGTTTGCAGCAAACCGAGGTCGTGTTGTGGCCAACCCCGAGGTCGTCAAAGACTGGCGCTTCGCCGTTGGTTTTACAGCTGATTACAACAAGGTGAAACCACCCGGAATACACACAGTGCGTCCATTTCCCGAACCGGATTATTATGTCTAACACATGAGATAGAAAATCACCAAGGCCTTGATACAGCGTGCGCTCGGGATCGGGTCCACTTGGCTTGCGAGCGCACAGACAGCCATGCAAATTATTGGAACATATGGCCAGAATCAGCCGCATGCTACTGCCGAGGTAATAAGTGTTCTGGAACGGGTCGATGACCCAGCGGAAGGTTCTGCAGCACTTTACGCGTTCTTGACAGAGTGGAAGAAGGATCATCAGGTGTGAATGACCTGCTAGTTCGGTAATTAAAGTACAGAAAGATGTCCTGATTCGATGATATGACATATGTTTGCGCACACAATAAGCTGACCAGGGATCCAATCGCTTTGAAGTAGTATCGCCGGGCAGAAGGCATCGCAAAGAATGTCCAGAAATACTTTCAGAATTATCCTGCCCATTCCAACGAGTATAACGCCCGGGCAAAATATGGTTACATCAAACATGTGCTGCACGCAAATTCATCTGCACCGCAATGATCATGCTGTCGCTTCCTTTGCCCTGATACTTTCAGACTGCGAGTATAGCAAGGAACGTCCCCAAATATCCCCAAATTTTTGCCGCCAATCCTCGCCACGATAAAACCCGAGCAATCAGGACAACGTGATGTTAGGCACGGGGATATGTTGGATGCGCTCGACAACACAGGCACCCATGGCACACCTAGTAACAATACTCAGAGTACCTGTTGTATCGTAGGAGTACATCTGTGTACTCAGATTTCACTCATTTAACAGCCCATCTCACTTATTACCCAGTCTTTCCGACGTACACTTCCTACCATGGACACATCAATACAACCATCAAACTTCAAATGCCTGTATTGCCATTTCAACTTCAGGTTATCTTTTTATTTGCTGGAAGCATACTTTAGCATCCAATGAACCATTCTACCAATTCATAATTCCTTAGCTTGACGTTCCCCTTTGGCATTCTCGCATTCTCGGTGATGCTCAAACCTCGACCTTCTCACCGATTGAAAACATGTTGTTCACACAAAATTGGTTCGAACGAAAGAGGATAGGGTATTGTTCAATACAAGGAGAACATCAATAGATAAATGACTAAGGATAATTAGCTGCTGCAGCAATTACGGTTGCCCCGCTCTTCTTGAGATAGTCCGAAAATGCCCGAGCTCTATAGTGAGGATATGTCTCTGTGATGAATCTCCGCACAAGGTTGACATCCCAGCGAGGCTTCGAGCTCAGCAGCAGAATAAGATCGATTACCTTCATCCTTCTGGTGTTCTCATTCCTGAGAGTATTGACGCCCCGACGCCATTTCGAGCCCCAAGTTGTGTTCAAGTCCCGAACGGGGATGTGCCCATCCACACCCTCTGACCATTCCACCCAATAATCCCAGATGGTGCCCGCAGATGAGTACCTGTACTGCGGCAGCCAATCACCATTGACCCACTGTGGAGAGTGTTTGCGAAAGCGTGCCTCTCTGAAGCGGTGGAAGTAGTGTTGTTGCCTTTCCTCCGGAGATCCAGATGCCACAGATGATGTCGAAGGGAACGAAATCGCTGCGGCTGGAGGTGAAGTAGGAGCCGGTGCTGGGAACAGTGAAGGAAAGTTGTAGACATGGGGATTAGAAACAGCGGCCATAGATGATGTCGAAGGGAAAGAAATCGCTGCAGCTGGAGGTGAAGTAGGAGCAGGTACTGGGGACGGTGAAGGGAAGTTGTAGACATGGGGATCAGAAAGAGCGGCCGAAAGCCAGATGTCTGAAGCCGCGGAAAAGTCGATTGATGATGAATCAAATGACATTGGTGCAGCTGTGCTCGAGGATGCATCGACAAGGATCAATGGCGCAGCAGAAAAACTGGTGAATGAGAGCGGCTCAAAGGTGTGAGGAACGTCGCTAGAGGCTGCACTGAGAGTAAGGGGAGGCCCTGGATAAAATATGTCAGCCAGCACAGAAAATCAGGAAGCGCTGATCACGCACCTTGCGCCTTCTTTGCCCGTTTCAACCCCACAGCATTCTCAAGCATCGTCTTCATCTCCCCCACTTGACTCTGCATCGCGTTCATTTGGGCCTGATAGTTCTGTCGTTCCCGTTCGAATGCCAGGTTCTGTGTAGCAAGAGCGCCCTGCAAGGATGCAACCAAATGTTGTGGGAGGTTTTGGAACGCGAGGCGAGCTACCTCCTCCGCCGCAGCAATCGCTGCGGTAGATGTGGCAGCAAAATTGTGGAAGGATGGGGAATTAAACGGGGTGTATCGAAAGATCAAGGCCAGAGGATTTTGCTTGTAAAGGACGGCCATATCCTGAACCAAGACGCGCCGAAGCCATATCATTGTGGTGAGAAACTGGCGTAGGGCGATGTCCCTGGCGAACCGGTTTTCATGTTCGCGTTGGAGCAACGCCCTGTGCTCCCCTTCTATCCAGGGGAAAATTTGCTTCAAGACCTCGTCCGGAGGATCTGGATATTCAAGTGATTAGACTGGAGGCAGGCGATCAAATTAGAGTAAAGTGGCGGGCGTACCAAGGCAATCTCTGGCGACACGATAGAGCTCAGGCTTCGCGCTGTTGAAAAACGCTGCCCCGAGTAAAGCTCCGGTCGGCAGAGCACGATCATAACAATTCTTGAAGGAACCACTCTCGTTCCAGCCTCCCAGAGCCTTTGTATCGCTAACACTCGCTCCGAACGACCTACAAGTCTGCGCAGCAAATGGTCGAGTGCCATGCGTGACCTTGGTGATAGAAACATCGTTGTCTGCATGCATTTTAATTATCCTGTCATGATGCGCTATAAAGTATCGGAGCAG